AACCGTTTCAAAAATTTTCTAGTTCTTCTAGGTATAGATTTCTTCTTGGAGAATTCACTAATTCGAACCACAAACTTGCCTTTAACTTTTTTAACCAAAAATCCCCATGTGCGAGTTTATTTATTGTTTTACGTGATTTTGTCAAATAGCACGAAGCATTTAATTTCGTATTTCTTCGAGTTTTAATTTTGTTTTTCCATATTAGTCACGACTTGTAAGAGCTTTTGATTTTTTAAACGTTTCGTAAGGTTTTGTAACAGTTTTTATGTCATTGTGAACTTGTTCCCTTATGTCATTAAAATCCAAAAAAATATGTAGAGCATTAGGATCCTTGCCTTAACAGATGTTCATGCGGATTTTTGCACATTCAATTAATTTTTGTTTGGATATTTGTTTTGACGTTATGAGCTTTCCGTCTTATTGACAAGTTACACATAATTGAAAGTTAAAAACTTTTCCTTTAGTGTTAGCAGCTTTTTTCGTTAAATCATTTAATTTGATTGTAGAATCAAGTTCGTAATTAGAACTTGTACTGATTTTAATATCCATTTGGATGAAAATTATAACTAATGCGTTATTATTTATCATTCTCACACAAAAATAAATATATTTTAGTCACATTATAAACTACTTCACTTCCTCAAAGAAAACTATTTTGACACTTAAAACGCAGACATAAAAAATAAATAAAATCATCCTCGCTGCGAAAGCGGGTGTACAAGCGCACGTCGGAACCGCAAAGTCGTTTATTGCCTGACCTTCCTCGAAAATCTGACCCCGAAAAAAAACTGTCCATCAGATTGGGGTTTTCAAAAAAATAACGGATTCGTTGACCTTCAATGCATATCTATTGTAGGAAACACTTTTTTGATAAACCAAATAGTTTTCAAGTTACAGCGAGGTAAACGATAACATAAAAATGAGTTTTCAGAGCAAGCTTTTCTTGATTAGAGACTCCCATATAAAAGCATTATGCGGTGTTTTTAAAATGAAAAAATAAAGTATTTCTAACAAAAATATTGAAAAGCGGTTTTGTCAATTTAAGAGCAGTATGGTGTAGACAACAAAAAAATAATAATTTCTTGACAATTTTTAGAAAATTCACCCCCACCACCCCCTGCACCGCACGATTTTTATACGACCAATTGATGATGCATTCTTAGTGTACAGGAAATGATAAAAAGTGATTATTACATTTTAGCAAGAAAGTGCAAACGAAAATCCATTTTAATAGAATTTTGCGAACTTATTAAATCTACTAAGGAAAATTGCATTTCTACTATTACAAAAATATAAACGAAGTCGGGACATTTTTACATCTTGACTTTTCACAACCCAACTTGCATGTCAAGGGTTCCATTCTTGAGAAACATTTAAGGCGACATCTTTACTACCGAGATATAGAGCGTTTTTAAATTTTCGGTTCTTTAGAAAATTGCCCATAACATTTTTATTTATGAAAATTTTGGATCCAGATAAAAACATCATTATGGCATTTTAAGGCAAATGCAGTAGCGTACTCAGATTTTTTTTACAGTTCTTCGTTTTGTCATTAATGAATTCAATTTCCTTATTTTATATGGCAATCATTGCCCTGAAATATAGGGAATTCTTTTTATGTATTAGTGTATTTTGTCGCTGTCAGTTAAGGGCATAAATTTTATGCTTTATAGAATTTTGTGTCACATAATTTTAATGGAAAAACTGAACGCAGAGGCAGTTAATGAACTTTATTTCGATAAATATCCGGGGCAGCAACAACCAGATAAGGAGGCAAGGCAAAATCAAAACAACTTAAATGAGGAAGAGAAAATTCGGGAATTGAATATGATTGCAGAAGTATTGCAAAATCCAAGCATTAATTCTTGAAAAGAGTATTAAATGAAGTGTTTGGATAGTGTTGGATTGGAAGTAGTCGCCTGCGAAATTGTGTGATGCTAACTCCTCTAGTTTTTTTTATGGGGGATATTTACAGATCTTATATTAAAGAATTTTCTAAACCAAATCACAATTAGAGGAAGTCACTCGGGAAGCGTTTGCTCCCATCAATCTTATAGAGTTAGTGAATAGTTGCCATTCAGTAAGAAAACTGACGTTCGGTGTATAGGAAGTATTCAGGATATTTTGTATTCGATATACTTATTGCGTTCTGTTTATTAAATTAACTATAATTTATGAATAATAAATAAAATTCTAATAAAAATATTAAATGGTTCTTAGGTTTCGTGTTTTTCACTTAAATTATTTTAAATTGTCCTTATCTTATCTTTATGTTAAGTTCCAGAGTTTATTAAATAAAGTAAACAAACCAGACTCTTTTAATCAACTCCACTAAGCATTTTGCCCACTCTGTCCAAAATTCTGAAAAAATTCATAAAGCAACAAATTCAGTCACATGTAAGAAAAAATTCTTGTGAGCTTTCAGTCGTCCTGACAAGTAAAATCCTATGACGCAGTGTTTAAATCAAACTAACTTTTACAGAGCTCAGCGATTGCAGAACTATTGCCTAAGACTAACATAAGGTATCCCAACATCTTACACGATATTTACAGTTGCGACCTTATTTTTCATAATTATAAAAAACCATATTCCAAAGTATTGCCAGCAAAGACTGCATTTTAGCATAGATGTATATACGTCAAACCGTCGTTTTCGGGCTATATTATAACACTATTTTGAACTATTCAAAAATAGTTCATAAATTTCCGGCTAACATACTACAATCAAAAAATGAATTTATTTTTAAAAAAATTATTTAATTAAAAAAAAAAGAGCAGTAATATATTTAAACTCTAGTATACATTAAGAACTGAAAATGAACCAATATAAATAAACAATGTCTGAAAATAACCTTTATCAGCATTTACCTATTTAATTGATCTCGCGAAATGTACGATGTTTCAGGATTCTTAGTTTTTATTTTTTTCCTTTTAATTCATTTATTTTATTGAGTTTAATGTGCCTAAGCAGCTTTTGTGTATAAATAAATTTGTCAAGGCGAACAAGCGGAAGAAAATTTTTCTAAATTATGTTTGTTTATTTTCTATAATAAAAGTATTTTATTACTATTAAAGACAGAAAAATAATTAAACTGCCAATATCGAAATTGTGTTTATCATATCTTCATCATATCTTTTTGAACATTTTCTTGTTTTTATCCAAAACCAGAGAAGACATTAATTTAGTACTCCATTCATTTTTAGGGGAAGTCACAAAATTTCGTTCGTTACCCGCAAATACGCCGCAAATACGATCGAAATGAATCCTTTTCAGTATATTGTGCGCCTAAAATAACGGGCTTGAACTACGCAAAAAATGCTACGTTGCCATTTTACTAATTCGTAGGAAGCCATAAAGTACTACAAGTAAACATATTGCGAAGTTCTAACGTATGGTTTACAGCGGAGGTTCAAAGGGAAGTCAATACATGCGACAGACATACCAAGATTACATTGCGAATTGCGATGCGAGCGCCAACGATCTACGCCTGAACTAAAATTGATAATGTACGGATGGATGGTCGACCTTGGAATTTCATTAGAAAATTTTGCAGGAAAGTTGCTAAGGCCCTCAAGGTCATACTGGCAAAGTTTTACATAGGCAAGATACAACATAAGAAAATATTAATATAAAATTATAATATATAAAAATAATTTAAAATAAATAAAAGAAAAAAATCATAAATTAACAAAAACACTCTGTATATCCTCTGAACTTTGCACCAAAACAATCGTGCATCGTACGATGTTTTTACAGTAACGTCGACGCGAGCAAACCTCGCGTATCGGTATTATTATTATTTTTTTTTTAAACTCTTATATACATTTTAACTGTTTCGTTAACTATGTGTGTATTATGTGTGTGAGTGCCGTATACAAATCATTTTTTGTTGGACTTTTATCTTTTATCAAGGGTATGACTTTTTTATTGTCATAGTTGGAAAAAACCAAAACAATAATAATATTTCTAGGCACCATGACAAAACCAAACGCTTTTAAAGTATAAACTTCCATATGATGCTACCTCTTCAATTTTAAGATTTGTGTATGTCTCTTTTTGGTAAGGTTCTTTGTAATTCCGTTTATGTATATGTAAAAAAAAGACCTGTACTATAACATAATTTTAGACTGTATCCCTTTCCCTTAGAAGACCGAAACGTCAATAAATGGACAAAAATTTTAATCGCTTTTAATACAAAGACCTATAACCCAAGAACCAAAAGCTAAACATAAATATAGAGAAGGTCTAAGAAAAAACAAAATGTAAACAATATATATATATATATATATATATATATATATATATATATATATATATATATATATATATATATATATATATATATATATATATATATATATATATATATATATATATATATATATATATATATATATATATATATATATATATATACAGTGTTCGAAGTGTTTTCGGAGCGCGAGCATTGAAGATGCCAAGTGAGATTTTGGCGAAACGTCTGCAGGATTCCAGTCGGATGCAAGATTTGCAGGATTCCAGTCGGATGCAGGATTCCAGTCGGAGTTCAACGAGCGAACGGATGATATCCCGGAATATAGTGTCATCATATATATATATATATATATATATATATATATATATATATATATATATATATATATATATATATATATATATATATATATATATATATATATATATATATATATATATATATATATATATATATATATATATATATATATATATATATATATATATATATATATATATATATATATATATATATATATATATATATATATATATATTCTCACGGATGGAAAAATGTGATGACACTATACTCCGGGATATCATCAGTTCGCTCGTTGAACTCCGACTGGAATCCTGCAGACGTTTCGCCAAAATCTCACTTGGCATCTTCAATGCTCGCGCTCCGAAAACACTTCGAACACTCAGTGAGCACACTCGAAGAACGTGTGTTCGGCGTCGTCAATTTTATCAGGACAGTACTTACACATAGGGGTGTTGTGTAAGCCCATCCTAAAAAGATAAGCGTTGAACTGTCCATGTCCCGTCAGTAGCTGGATCAGATAGAAGTCTGTGTCCCCGTGTTTTCGAGAAAGCCAGATATTCATATTCGGAATCAGACGCTCCGTCCATCTGCCCGTCTTCCCGTCGTCCTGCTACTCTTGCTGGGTTTCCGCTTTTATCCTTGTTTTTGCCTCCTTGAAGTTGTCGAATTTCCTTTTAGCGTCATAGAGCTTGGCTCTCTCAAACGCTAATAGGTCGATAGGCGTTGCACCCGCAATGACCAGCTGGATACCGTCTTGCTAGCTTTCTGGCATGCACTATCAAGGTGTGTGAGTGCGTGCGTGTGTGTGTGGGTGTGTGTGTGGGTGTGTGTGTGTGTGTGTGTGTGTGTGTGTGTGTGTGTGTGTGTGTGTGTGTATGTGTATGTGTATGTGTATTTGTAGGTGCGTGCGTGCGTGTGTGTGTGTGTGTGTGTATGTGTGTGAGTGTGTGTGGGTGCGTGCGTGCGTGGGTGTGTGTGTGTGTGTGTGCCGATCCGACGCAAATAACAAGATAACAAAAAAAAGAAATCGCGTGAGGGCGAAATGTGGAATTAGCATAGCACAAAGACTTTAACATCCCATTGTCAAATATATGGAACAAAAAGATAATTAACAATGGGAGCGTAACAACACGGAAATCATACTTCGAGTGATTGGGTTCGAAACTAAATTGTTAAAATAGTACAATTACGCCGTATATTCTGAATGCCGGGATCATTAAATCACATTCTTGCCCTCCATGTCATTTAAGTAAATTTGCACACGGGAAACTGATTTTTAACTGATATTTGATAGAAAAATTAGTTCCGTATGTTCTGCCAATGTCATTGAAAAACGTAATTTTTCGTGAATTTGCAGTATTGAACCCTTGCAATAATAACAGCTTATTCTTATTCTTCAACATTCAAATATAATGCTTAAGTTGTTCTTGGGTTAAGGTTGCTCAATAATAGCAAAATTTAATAGCTCAATCTAAATTAAAAGTCAAATCCACTTATAGTAATAGTGTTGAAATTAGAGCAACAATTAAATAGACTCTTACCAACTAATAATGCACATAAAGTTCTAAGTCTAAATATTCTCATGTCAGTTATTTCATATTTGAAGTTTCTTAGTTCATTGAAATTATCAATAAATTAACTAGTAGTTAAATATCGTTGGTTATTATTGATTCCTATAACGTTGCATTATTACTAATGGAATATTTGCAAGCATTCCATTTTTATAGTTTTGGAAGTGTTGTTTTAACTTGTAATTGCTTGGTTTATAAGCTACAAAACATATATTTTCGTTCTCCAAGTTAAAAATAAGTGAGTTTCTCTCCTATTCTCTAAGTAAATACGTAAATTATGGATACATATAATCAAAGTTGTATTGCAGGTCTTGTTTACTTAAGCAGCTCTAATTGTCCAGCTCCATACAATGGAACCTCAAACATAAATTACTTCATTATTCGTTTAAACTTTCCGCGTGCTTAGAGATTGGATAGTATTTGATGGTGCGTTAAAAAAATTTATATGGGTCTCACGAACAATAATTTATTTCCTTCAACCTGGTGGTAGGTGTGAGTGTCAAATCTCACCTTCAAGTTTTGGCGGTGCAAAAGAATATAAGACACTATAATTTAAGGCTATAAGTTCCGCAAACCGTTCTTGAAGAGAACAGGCCACTTAAGCTACCCAAACCTCAAGATGTCCCGAACGTTACACAGCTGTCTGTCACTATCCCGGGAACCAAGCCAAGATGGAATGGTGGCTCAATGAGACAGCCGCAGGTGGGCAGTCTCAGTTAACCCAGCAAAGTCCGTCCGGAAAGCCGGCTGCTCGATAGGGGAAACTCCACAACTAAACATGTACCCAAGAGACAGCATACACTGCAAGACACCAAGTCTGGTCTGGTATTCCGGTGAAAGAAGAAACCACGTGGAAGGTTTGCGGGAAACGGAGCAACAATACGTACAATACTAATTAGAAAAAAAAAAACCCTAAAATAAAATCGGCATAAATTGAGGAACACTGATTAGGTGGCGAAATGGTTCCAAAAGGTAACTTACCTCGATTCGAGGGTTTTCTGGAAATATGGGGCAATGACAATTCTTTTCAAAATCCCTCGTTGAGGAAGATTCCCATTCCAAACTCCAAATAGATCCAAAAGTATGGGAAATCATAAATTAGTGACCAATTTACATATCCCCCTCTTATTGGGGTAGCACTACCGGCTCAAAAAGAAATCGGTCACACAAAAGAAAATCTGCCACAACCCCAAGCTTCAAAAGCTAGCGTACAAAATGCCGGACGATTCAGACAACCAGTTTTATTAAAAGGCTAAACGGGCACAAAAAATTAGAGGGAAAACGCCACTCTTGCCAACCTAGTCGACGATACGCCGCCAGTAGAAAGAACAACCGAACTATATCTGTGGTGATGGCCGTATGGCCCGTGCCAAAGAATCGAGGTTGCGTCAACGAGATCGAATTACCGGAACGCTATCCATGGTGGCGACCGGACGGCCAGTCACAGAAAATCGAGGAAGAATAGGTTAAGAAACAAAACAATGTTTACTAGGCTCGCCAAGGAATACCGAAGCAATGAAAAGCAAATGTGGTCCCTAGTCTCATAGGGTGACAGATGGTAATGGTTATGACTCCTTCTAATGCGCAACTAATACTCTGTTTTTTGCATTAGTATCTCTCAGTAAACCGGTGTCACTTAAGAGAAAACCAAGCGAACAAGGGGCCACGCACACAGCCGTTGCAGCATAAAATATTTATGGTTCGGCAACACAATCGGCCGGGGAGTACAAGTCCGAAACTAAAGGAACCGAGTCTACAAAAGAACGTGTGTTCAAATTGCAAAATCGATATGAACCTAATAAACAAGAATTTTAATTGTTAAGAAGCACTCGCCAAACAGCAAAAGGTGAAGGAAATGGACAGTACAATTAATTCTACAAGGTACTAATAAAATAAACCCGTTACTTCGCAAATGTGCCAGCACTCTCACTTTAAAAATGCTAAATTTTACCATTGAAATATGAAACCGTCACACTCCCCCGTTCCTCCGTCAGAGGTGAACACCGATCGACACATGGACTTCCACCAGAACAGCAAAATAGCGTACAACTTGCCGAAACGCCCGAAGAAAAAAAACTTAAATATTAGTAAAAGAGCAGCAATATCACCCGAAAACTCGGTAAAGCACGAAGGAAAAAAAAACAAGAACTTACAACTAGTGAAACAGCAGTATCGCGCGCACTCTTGTTGCGCTCGACACTACCTAGTGGAGCCTGCGCATCCACTAATACCAACTGAATAATTTTGACAGGTTAATCCCTAACCCACTACTGTCGCACATCAGACACTACCACATCTAAGGCGGGCCACTTGAATACCAGTAGCCGAGACCTCCCATAAATTGATTGGCTCGCCGAAGCTACCATTCGGGCCAATCTCGAGCCCCCCAATACTAAGCTCCACGCCAAAGACATCCATCGCACTCACCAACACATACTTGCGAGACGCAGCAGTGAAACCGCACGACACCCATTGGGCCAGAGAGCCGTATAAGCCGAAAAAAAAAAAAAAATTTAAAAGAGGTTAGCTATACCCAAGTGATCCCCAACAACAGCGCAACGACGAATCCACCGGAAGCAGAAGGGAAAACCTCTAGACTAGAGTGGTAACACTAGGCCGTCGGTAATCTATATACCGCGATGTTAAGTCGACCTAGTAGGCTAAAATTGCACAGGTTACTACAGCGGTAAACAAGTCTCGTGTATTAGCCCTCACAACAGCCCACAGGATTACACCTCCACCACCAAGCGAAACCGACGCACGCGGCCGCGCAAGATCAACCTGGCATAACAAGACCAAAGGCACTAATCGGGAAAGAAAAGGTGAGAGCTCGCAGGAGCCCTACCTTGTTGGTGATAACTCTCCAACACTCTCAATATGATTTAGTATATAAAAAAAGCTTACCAAATCTGTCAAAAGAATAACAGACTGGTCAGGCATCGATGTACGGCCTTCAAACAGCAACTGAAAAGTTTAGAGACAGAAAATTCATAAACTTCAGTGCTTATTAATAAGTAAGTAACCCACCTCTAACCCACGAAAACAACTGTCTGAAGAATAGATTGTAAATCCAAACCAGTTGTTCACCAAAACTAAATCAATCGTCATCAGAAGCAAAATAAGTAGGCTTTAAATCTTTAACATGCCAAACACCCGACGACCTACCCTGACTATTCGTCAACTCATACGTCCAACCTCCTATTCTACGCTTAACCGTGAAGGGGCCTATAAATTTTGGCCAAAGTTTAGCATTGAGGTTTTTCGACGCGTCGGAGAGAATTTTATTTTTCCTCCAAACCCGATCTCCGACCTGATAGTGAACTGGTCTCCTACGCAAATTGTATATTTTACGGGATCGGTCCGCCATTCTAGCTATACGGGCTTTGACATCCTCAAAAAGTTTTCTATAACCTATTACGCGTGCTTTCATCTCGGTCTGTACTTCAACTCGATCATCATTACCATTGTTAAACATATAACGATACTCGGTACCATCTCCGACATACTCTCGTCCAAAATTGACAAAGTATGGGGTATAACCTGTGGTTTCACTTCGAGAAGTTCTTATAGCGCATCCAATTGCAGCAAGATTTTTGTCCCATTCTTTGTGATTCTCTCCCAAATAGATGGAAACCATGGTTTTCACAATCTTGTTGTACCGCTCAACAGGGTCCGCCTGCGCGTGGTAATATGCGGTATACGAGATTTTCACATGATATCTGGAACACAAGGCTTTAAATTCCTTGCTTCTCATTTGTTTGCCATTGTCGCAAATGAGGAACTGAGGCACTCCATACACCAGAAATATTTGCTCTTCCACGAAACGACACAGGGCGCTTGAAGTAGCGCTCCGTAATGGACACAGAGCAACGAACTTGCTGAAGTAATCGCATACTGTAAGGAGGTAGGAGTAACCCTTCTTGCTTCTAGGATATGGTCCCATAAAGTCAAGGCTTATCATTTGCCATGGGCGGTTTATCTCAGGTCGTGTACCCATATGACCTGCTGAGGCCTTTTGCTCCGGCTTGTGTTGGGCACAAATGCGACAACTACGAACATACTTCCTTACATCTGCTCTCATCTTCGGCCAAAAATATTTATTATGAATTTTCCAATAAGTCTTATAAGTTCCAACATGACCGGAAACGGGCTCGTCATGATACTTCCTAAAGATTTTATTTCGGTGATCCTTGGGTACTACAATCTTCCAATAGTCAGACTGCGCAGTAAGTTCTGGAATCGGACACTTTACATATTTATATACAATATTATTCTCCACACGCCATTGAGGAAATTGCTCCGGTCGACTCTCAATATTACTTATCATCTTCCTATACCACGCATCAGTACTACTGCCAAAATCAAGGACTTGCTCAGGACTCGTACTAACAACTTCCACGTTGATCAGGACACTTCTCGAAAGAAAATCCGGAACGACATTATCTTTCCCTTTTCGGTGTACGATGTCAAAATCATAGGGTTGCAAACGAAGAGCCCATCTGGCCAATCTTCCGGTTGGGTCTTTCAGGTTATTAAGCCAAATGAGTGAAGCATGGTCCGTGACAATAGTAAAATGGCTCCCTTCAAGATAATTGCGCAGTTTTTCGACAGCCCAAATGACACCTAAACACTCACGCTCAGTAGTGGAATAATTACGCTCCTGTTTTGTCAACGAACGTGACAAGAAACAGATTACCTTTTCTCCGTCGCCCGATTCTTGGGTCAGAACAGCGCCAAGTCCATAAGCAGAAGCGTCGGTCTGAAGGACAAAGGGTTTCGAGAAATCTGGACACGTTAATATAGGAGCTGAGGCAAGTGCATTTTTAATATGATTAAAGGCAGCCTCGCAATTGCTATCCCAGACGAAAGAGGCATTCTTGTGGGTCAATTTGGTTAACGGCGCGATCAGGGTGGAAAAATCTGGCACAAATCTTCGGTACCAACCAGCCATACCTAGAAATCTCCTAATCTCTGTAATGTTCTTGGGCGGAGGAACCGTCATTATGGCTTCAACTTTTCTGACATCTACATGAAGACCTTTAGAGTCAACTACAAATCCTAAATAATTAAGGAAGGGCATACAAAACTTACACTTCCCAGGGCTTAATGTTAAACCTGCTTTCATTAGGCGATCAAATACCTTACCCAAAATGATTAAATGCGTTTCAAAGTCGGGAGAAATTATTATAATATCGTCCAGATACACCAAAACATACTGTTCTAAATCTGAGCCAAGGACGGCATCGATAAGTCTCTGCCAAGTTGCCGGTGCGTTAGTAAGCCCGAACGGCATTCGCTTGAACTGAAAAAGTCCCCGTTGTGGTACTGTAAATGCGGTATACTCTCGACACTCCTTCTTCACTCCCACTTGCCAAAATGCCGACTTAATGTCCATGGAACTTAAATATCTGGCTCCACGCAGCCTGTCCAAAATTGATGAAACGTATGGTAAAGGGTATGCGTCTTTCTTAGTAACCTTATTAAGTGCCCTGTAGTCTACACAAAATCGATAGGCGTTGTCCTCTTTGGGCACAAGAAGTACTGGTGAAGACCAAGCGCTCTTAGAAGGCTCGATGACGTCCATTTCAAGCATTTTCTTAACTTCTTCATCAAGGATCTTCTGCTTGAAGGGTGAGACGGGATAATATCGCTGTTTAATGGGCTTAACGTTCTCCTCTAAGACAATCTCATGAGTCGCCACTGTAGTATACCCCAAACCTTTGCTCATTCTTTCAAATTTTTCATCCACTAAAGAGTTCAATCTTTCTCGTTGGTCCTCAGTCAAAGTGCTCTCGTCCGTAATACCACAAACCTCCACCATAGGGTATTCTCCAAAACGCCACTCGTTCCTTTTCAAATTCGGTACTACATCCATTGAAATCCAAAAATCGGTTCCCAAAATTAAGTTATTTGATAGCTCCGGTACCACTAAAACATCTATAATAGACACCCTCCCCATCAGGGACATTGGCGTCTTTACGGATCCAATACTCCGACAAGTATTTCCGTTCGCAACAGAGCACAACGTTTTCCGAGAGGTATCCAACTTCAAACCTAAATGCATCAATGTCATATAACCTGACTTCCCAACTAAAGTGGCACTACTCCCAGAGTCTAACAAACCCAGAATGGGATGTCCCAAAACGGTAACCTCTATATGCGGTCTCTGATCCTGATTTGAATGGGATATTACGTAATCAATCAATGCTCGCTTCTGAAGAAAAGCAGAAGTGTGTACATTATCGGTCGTTGAAACATTCACAGGGGACACTAACCGACCACTTAATTCCCCTGAGTCTCGTTTTTTTGAGCACTCTGGACAGTTTCTAATAGTATAACCTGGCTGCTTGCATCGAAAACAAAGTAAGCGACGTGATTGAGGACAACTGAATCGTCTGTGACCCGTCTGGCCGCAATTCCAACACTCAATTGGTCTCCTTGGGAAATCACAGCGAGGCTGCGCTCTAGGACTTTGGACTGCCGTCTCCACCACTCTGACCTGAACAGGACGGTTTGCAGTTTGGTGACGATACGCCAAATGAGGTTCCTGCACTAGACGAGGATGCGCAGGTGGAGGACAGTATTGTTGTGCGCGCCAGTGTATCTCCTCGGCAGCTCTTCCCCTTTCCAAAAGACTCTCGATGGTGGCGATTTCTTGAAAGCTCAAGGCTACCTGTAAGTGTGGTAATAGATTTCTTCTAATAATGTTAACTTGCTCGCTCTCGGACGGTTTGCTAGAAGACAATTTCATAAAAAGATTTTGCATCCTTGTAACATATAATAGCAATCGTTCATCTTGACCCTGAGTACGTCTCTTAATATCGTCCAACAAATCTTCGTCGTAGTTCAGAGGCAGAAATGCATCGCGGAGCTTTTGTCTTAAATCGAGCCAGTCAAGGAACGACCGCCTTCGGGGCGTATACCAATCTCGTGCATCTCCTCTCAAGATTTCGTAAGCTGAATGGAACAACTGATCTTCAGTCACTCCTCTTGACTCCGCCAAATGCTCTATATCTTCAATAAATGAAGTGACACTGCCACTACCATTAAAGAAAACGTTCCATTTGTGTATTGGTACGAATGATCCTGAGGATCGAGGCACATCTCTCTCATTAGACAAGCCTGCATGAGACGGTGCACCAATGTGACTCACTGGGTTTGTAATTAACGATATGCTGCCATTTGGCCTAGAAGTACTGTTTCCTCCGGATTGAGAGCACGTTTGGATCATTGGTACCGCGCTTGAGTCAGGATTAGTCGCAAATGATACTCGACGAGTACTAGAAGTTGCCTCCTCAGTCATAAAAGGAATCGGACAAATTGTAAATGCGGCCAACCGATCGGCCAACTGGGTACAGGCTCGACGGTTGATTGTTTGAGCTAAATTCTGCAATTCAAATTCCGTTATTCGCCTCCTTGCATCTCCAAACGAGTTCCCTGTAAGGTTGGAATCTACATCATTATTGAGCGATCGTGATAATCCAGAGTCTACCGGCCTCTCCAAAGTAGGATTATGATCAGGTGCTGCACCTCCCAGATCTATCAAATTACCCACAGGAGCATCCATTCTCTCCGGATGAATAAATTCATTTTGTGTGCACATTGCTCCAACACTAGTCTGGCAAAGGCTGGCGATGTGATTCGCGTCCTGCAAGGCGTCAAAACACCCACTCAATAAAAACATCAGGTTTTGTTTCTTTGATTTCAAGTCCTGACCCTCAGCTACCACTCTGTGCAATCTGCTTTTGACATGCATTAGCCTGCTGTAAATTTTCTTGAATTCATTCTCTCTATTCTCCGCATCAAACTCTTGAATAAGGCCCACCAATTCATCCAACTTAGATGCACATATGCCCAATTCAGAAGATGGCTCAAAATGAATGTTAATATCCTCCCGAATGTTCCGCTGAAATGCTTCCCGCAACTGAGCTCTCTTTTCATCCACTGTAGACCCCACATCACAACCTCTAGCAGCTAACTCCCAAGTCAATTCATCACTCCTAAGCCGATTAATCTCCATTTAAAATTTAAATAATTAAATTCCCCACCCCTTCCTGGTATAAGGAAAATAGAAAAAGAAAAACGGGAGAACGATAGCGCAACAGAAGCAACCAAATAATGGACCAACACAATACCACCCGCACACAACTCGCGATGCACTAGGCCACCTGTGGCTGATCAAAGAAGCCGCAAATTGAAAATAATAATAATAGTAATAATCAAATAAGATCCGTGAAAAATAAACTGAAAACGTGGCAAAGTATACAGAACTATCGGTAATTACTTCCAAAAGCTTTTAAATAAATTTCCAAATCACAGAAGAGGTCGGAGGATTGCAATCACACTGCTCCCTCAATTTTGAAGTCACCGTTATAACCACCAGCCAAGTACTAGAATTTTGTGAAATTTGACACCTCCAAAAAAAAATTCTTAACAATAATAGTTTTCCAATGCAAACATAAATACAACTTTACCGATATTGAATATACAAAAAAAAATTCCGCAGTGCTCCGATTTGAAAAAAATAGCAACAGTTACACTCCACAAGTAAAGGGATATATACCAAAAAATGTATCCACCTGGTATGGATATCTTTCAAATATCACACAATCAAAAATTAATAAATAACAATATATCGCAACTGTATATGTAGAACACTAATTAATTAAACCGCAAAAATGAAATGCATTGCATAGTAAAACGGCAATATATACAAACTTGTTATAAAAGAACCACCGAAACTTGAAGAGAATCAAATATTTTGAACACTCAAAAAAAATATTCAGTTGGGCGCCAGTTTCTTACCTCTCCATCTCAGGGTCGTGAAAAAGAAACGCATTAATTAATTAAATTCGTAATTTAATAGTGAGGTAAGACAATGCCTAGGCTAGCTCATTAACAACCGAGAAAAATTAATAAAGTAGAAAAGAAAAAAAATATATATATATACTAAACCAAAGCCAGGTTGGAAGGCGGTGAAGGGCACCTCGGTCAGTCCCGGAAGGTGGTAGGTAGGCGCCAAGTGATTCGAAAAAGGTAGACTTATCAACCCGAGGTACCAACCCGTAAAGGAAATAAACAAGTGAATCACGAACAATAATTTATTTCCTTCAACCTGGTGGTAGGTGTGAGTGTCAAATCTCACCTTCAAGTTTTGGCGGTGCAAAAGAATATAAGACACTATAATTTAAGGCTATAAGTTCCGCAAACCGTTCTTGAAGAGAACAGGCCACTTAAGCTACCCAAACCTCAAGATGTCCCGAACGTTACACAGCTGTCTGTCACTATCCCGGGAACCAAGCCAAGATGGAATGGTGGCTCAATGAGACAGCCGCAGGTGGGCAGTCTCAGTTAACCCAGCAAAGTCCGTCCGGAAAGCCGGCTACTCGATAGGGGAAACTCCACAACTAAACATGTACCCAAGAGACAGCATACACTGCAAGACACCAAGTCTGGTCTGGTATTCCGGTGAAAGAAGAAACCACGTGGAAGGTTTGCGGGAAACGGAGCAACAATACGTACAATACTAATTAGAAAAAAAAAAAAAACCCTAAAATAAAATCGGCATAAATTGAGGAACACTGATTAGGTGGCGAAATGGTTCCAAAAGGTAACTTACCTCGATTCGAGGGTTTTCTGGAAATATGGGGCAATGACAATTCTTTTCAAAATCCCTCGTTGAGGAAGATTCCCATTCCAAACTCCAAATAGATCCAAAAGTATGGGAAATCATAAATTAGTGACCAATTTACATATCCCCCTCTTATTGGGGTAGCACTACCGGCTCAAAAAGAAATCGGTCACACAAAAGAAAATCTGCCACAACCCCAAGCTTCAAAAGCTAGGGTACAAAATGCCGGACGATTCAGACAACCAGTTTTATTAAAAGGCTAAGCGGGCACAAAAAATTAGAGGGAAAACGCCACTCTTGCCAACCTAGTCGACGGTACGCCGCCAGTAGAAAGAACAACCGAACTATATCTGTGGTGATGGCCGTATGGCCCGTGCCAAAGAATCGAGGTTGCGTCAACGAGATCGAATTACCGGAACGCTATCCATGGTGGCGACCGGACGGCCAGTCACAGAAAATCGAGGAAGAATAGGTTAAGAAACAAAACAATGTTTACTAGGCTCGCCAAGGAATACCGAAGCAATGAAAAGCAAATGTGGTCCCTAGTCTCATAGGGTGACAGATGGTAATGGTTATGACTCCTTCTAATGCGCAACTAATACTCTGTTTTTTGCATTAGTATCTCTCAGTAAACCGGTGTCACTTAAGAGAAAACCAAGCGAACAAGGGGCCACGCACACAGCCGTTGCAGCATAAAATATTTATGGTTCGGCAACACAATCGGCCGGGGAGTACAAGTCCGAAACTAAAGGAACCGAGTCTACAAAAGAACGTGTGTTCAAATTGCAAAATCGATATGAACCTAATAAACAAGAATTTTAATTGTTAAGAAGCACTCGCCAAACAGCAAAAGGTGAAGGAAATGGACAGTACAATTAATTCTACAAGGTACTAATAAAATAAACCCGTTACTTCGCAAATGTGCCAGCACTCTCACTTTAAAAATGCTAAATTTTACCATTGAAATATGAAACCGTCACAACGTGTTAACAGCTAGCTATGTAATGGGAAAAGATTAGTTCATTGCTGAGCTACTCAAGTACCAAAATGTCATTCTTTTCAATTCGAAAACCTTTCTCAAAGCGCAATACCGTAGGACATCAAGTTATGGAATAGACCGAAGTAAGCTGCTCTCAGAACAATCTGTTGGATAACTTTCTGTATAGATCTGAAATCTGAAATGTCAATGCCAAACCCCAGCAGAGTTATATTCAACAGATATAAGAAGGTTATTTTGCCGCATGCTAAGGTCAATTTTTGAGTTTTTTTCTTGTTGTTTATGAAAATCATTTCTGTATAGCACTCAGGGTCACTTCAACTTTATTCAGTAGAATTTGTGATTCCAAAAACGGATCTCTGTGGAAGATCATGGCGCATAAGCCCTTTTTCTGCCATGCCATTCGATATATTGAAAACGGTCAGCTAGTTATTAAAAAAAAAAAAAAAACTGATCTGAGAACATCGCGACAAATTTGCTATACGGCTCTTTTTTTCTTTATCGTCGATCAATAGGAAACACAATCATCTGGAATTGTCACTTGCTTGGCATTGATAAATTTAATGAAATTTTAGAGAATCAAACGAGTCTGATGTGTTTACATTTTTTTTTAAATCTCATGAATCAGTCTGACAAGCTAACGTTTTCATACTTCCATGCGAATTAAAAACATTGAAAGTTTAATCAAATAATCTTCTAGTAGATTGATTAATTTTTATATTAGAAAGAAAGGATCTAGATATGAAAATGTATATAATCCATTAACATACTTTGAAACGCTTGGAATAATTCAAAGGAACCCGAATGGAAATAAAACATTCGAAAAAAGAAGTCGGCGATCGCCGCGTTTTTGCCAGTGACAAACATTGGCATGCCGAAAAGGACTGAAACGGATGTAGGCCATTTAATCAATTCGAAAAATCCAGATGTTTCTTTTATTCTCTCGTTGACGCCCCTACGAGATTGCTTCCTTAAAAACCGGATTTTGTAGAATGAAATCGAAGGTAAAAAATGCTGCTGCCATACGTGCAAACGCACTGGTTCATTTCATAACGAAATAAATTTTGAGTTTTTAGACATACAATGCAGTCGATTTCGAATTTTTATTTGTCAACCTTTAATACATTTTTCGACTTCAAAAACTCCCATTTCATAGCAAAAGATATGAATCACAAAAATCCCAGGAGTTTTTTAAAAAGAAGGAGGATAACTTGGAAAGTTAACTTTAGGCATTAAAAGGCTATTCGGCGAAGTCTTAAGAGTTTTCTAGAAATGTCGTATTATAGCTATAAGAGCTAAAAAATTGCTACCGAGGCAGACATCCTATGAATATTTTAGAAAAATTTTCTTTTATTAAAATTTTGTGGCAACTGATGAAGTTATAACTCACATAAATATCGAGATTCAATTTAATTTTTAACAGCAGCTGCCACTTCGACTAATTGTTAGCATTATTGGTTCTTCAATGTATTCTCTAGCATAATATCTACTTTCTCCATAAAAACCCTTTACAGGAAAAAGTGATAGTGTTTACTTTAAAAACCATTACATTAGGTGCAAACGATATTCTGGTTAGTTTTGATACAGACTCCATTTATAAAACTCTCATTACAATTTCAGATTTAACCGAGAAACAACAAGCATCAGGAACAGCAATGGATCCTTCATTATCATCAGCCCGTTGAGAAGAGAGTCTTCGACATTTAGCATGTAAAACTAAAACTATAGATAATGATACTTTTATTGGCATCATATTTAAGCATTCCTCCGAGATTTTCTCGACCATTAAAACTCGATAAATCCTAAGATAGGTTCTCTCATTCTTAGATATTCTTAGTCTATATTCTATTCTTAGTCTAGAGAAAACTTACGCACACAGGCCGAAGCCTTAATGCATTATCACATCGTCATCCGGTTCAGAAGTTAGCGGTTATCAACTCCTTTGTTTGCAGAACCCTAAAACTCTCAAACCCAATCGCTGACTCAAAATTAAAACTCTGCGCTCTCTCTTCTCTCTCAAATAAGAGAAGTGTCACAAAATATACTTATCTGCAACCTCCCAAAGAAAATAAACCCGAAAGCTAGTGTGGTCCTTCTCTACATTCAGAACATAACTGACCACATATCAAAAGTTGTCAAGAAACATTATGTTATCACCAGATTTACCACTTGTCCAAAAATCTCCCAATATTCTCGATCTGTTAAAAGCAAAACTCGGTTTGAGACACCGCAAGAATACATTGAAGAGACAAGACGAATAATATCTACTAGGCTAAAAGAACACCAGAAAACCTGTAAGTCTACGACAAATAAACTCATCTGCAATTACTGGACACAATCCTGAAACCGGATATCAAATCTCATTCCACCAAGTTTTTACACGTAATCAATTCGTTGAACAAAGAAAAATCCGAGAATTCATAAAATTTCTGAACCACGAAAGAAAATTAACCCCAAACTAGTTTCAGCTAAGCTCTGAAGATGCCAACAGAATGACCGGCGAAACGTCAGCAAATTTGATTCATCAGCAAGAGACACATTATTTGTAAATAGTATAAGGATTGTGATTGGTAAATAATAAGCTGAAGTTTATTATTATCTGATAATTTATTCAAAACTGTGAATTCAAAAAAAAAAACATAAAACCTATTTATCGTCATCACTACTAAAAAAAATCAACAATGAATAATTTGTTATGTTATGTAAATAAACATCACGAATTACTAGAAATTTAAAAATATTTAAATAAAAACAGTATTTACTTTTTTGTGTGGAGTTAGTATCAGTATTACTTGCTAACAAATCAATACCCTCCCCTAAGCAATAAGGGATTTGTATTACAATTAGAATTTTAGTATTAGACGAAATACAAAATTAAATCGTAGTCAAATTTTTAGCGACTTAAAACATCGAGTCTCTTCGATAATCTAATTTTTATTCTGCCATGAACTTAGTTTCATATTTCGGCCAGTGTTCATTGTGCAACTAAAATTTGACTGCTATTTTTACTTTGAAATTTTATGAAATAAGTAGAACTTGGAAATTATGTTCCGCTCATTATTTATTATCAACAAAACTCGGAGACGGCGAAAGAGGCATCGTATTTCTACTTTCCATATTCGAAGAAGTGTTAAGAACTGCTAAAAAATAAATGCACGCCAGGTGGTGCGAATACTGCGCGTCTGCAGACAGAAAAGTTAGACTTGCAGTTTGCAGTTCAATTCTTATATTATTGTCATATTTTATTTATATACTATCGCAGTGCATTACTCTGTATATTCTCCGATTAAGACCCCTTGTTAAATAACCCTGATGCATAGCATCTTAGAATAACTATGTCTAAACCAACTGTGTTGAACTCATGCTGTGGTAGCAAATTGAATTTAATGCCGCCATGTTGAATAAAACTAACTAAAAATATGTGATATTCCTAAACTTCCATATGGGTTTTAATTGTCTCTATACTCAATGTTTACAATCTAGACGTGTTTTTGTTCACCTATTCTTAGCCAGTTGTGAAGTGCCCCTCTCTGTTTTGAGGACATTTTCGCACTTTATCGTGAGTGCTATTCAACTTTAATTTTGAGCTCGACTCCATAATAAAAGCCAAGGGAACTGAGCGTTACCACGTTTATTTGCTCCTTCTTCATACATAGGATTTTGGGCAATCCCGTAGTTATTGGGTTACTTTATAGTTGTCAGTAGCCCGTTACTGTCTCTCCACTTCCCCTCTAGTTCAAAAATGGGATCTTTCTATCGGAAGATTGGGTTGGATTTCAGTACTCGCGCATATAATACTATGAAAATTTTAACTAACACGAACAGAACACCGGCTCACCAGAGGAACAGATGAATTTTTCTTTTTGAATGTCGCAGATTGCAGTTGACTCCTGGATTCTGAGATGATGGTAGATGTGGTTTAAACTGAAGGTAACTCAGAATTACAGATTGTAACCTTTACATTCAATCACTTGAACTCAAATTAGAGAAATGCGTTAGTGCGTTTAACATTCCTTTTCATATTCTGAATGACTTTTTATATACCCAAAATATTAGATATACCACTTTATTTAGTAAGTTCAAAAATGGTAACCTAAAAAAACGTAACGAATTTAAAATAATGAAAAAAGACATTTTCCTGATGATGTTGATGGTTTCCTTTCACTTGGTTCTTAGTATAGCCTCCCTATTTCACCAACAGATGTTAACAATTTTAGACTACTTTCAGAGGTTACTTATCCAACCACCACATCATAGAGGTTTAATACGTTTGAGAGCTACCACTTACATCACTTCAATCAATTCTATGATATTGATATTCTATATATATGATTCTATGATATTGAGAGACGGACTAAGTTATTTTAAAAAAATAAAAACAAAATTTGTTGGTTATAAAAACAGACAAAGGCAATGTTACAGTGGTCATGGCGAAAAGTATATATGTAGAAAACTCAATGGGGTTCCTTAGTGACACCTATTCCAAACTTCAAAAAGACACTACATCCTCTGTTGAAAATAAATGCAATAACCGAGTAAATAAACTAAAACAACTTTATCGACGAAAATTATGCTAAAAAACATGAATCTGGAAGTTTTGGTTAGTTTGGTTGTTCTGCAAAATATTATTGAAGGGCAACCGAAGACAAGTACCTGGAGAATTGCATCAACTGCATGGAGGATATTAAAAGAACAGTTACATTTATTCCATATACAGAGGGTTCAAGCTCTTTTCACAAGAAATTTTCAACTAAGGATGTGTCCCAATGGTTTCGCCGCACCGATGATGCTTACTTTTTGTTCAAAAATTTTCTTTTCGGAGTTTTAGTTCATCGAGAGACGCAATTCGAAATTTTCACAAATTGAACTGAGGTGGCTTTTACTTGATGAAAATCAATCTATCAAAATAAATAAGAACCAAAAGTTCAGATTTTTACGAAATTATATATTTTTCATGACAATTGTAACGAATGTAATATTTACAAACTACCTGCTACTATATGTACCTAAAAATCACCATAAAACCTTAATTAATGTGGTTGTGAGAATTTAAGTTCAATAAAGGAGAGGTATTTGAATATAACTCATCGTTAAGCAATACGTTTGAATGTCTCATTTTATTAATCTCCATGGCTTTAAATAAATTAAATTTTCTACTTTTTGTGGCTGTATGTAAAATATCAAAATTGTCGTCAAAAATGTGTTTTTCTGTGTTTAAGTGTGTAGCATAATTAGAAACTAGGCTATTGTTTTTAAACGCTTTTTTATGCTCGTTAATGCGTTTCTTGAAGTATCTACCTGTTTGTCCAATATAAATTTTAGAGATCCACATTTCAACCTGTAGACACCCGATTTTTGAAATTTTTGACATTTCGTTTTATTATTTTTAAAAAAATTTCCTATTGTGCTGTTAGTTCTGAAAGCCATTTTGAAACCACATTTTGACAAATGTTTTGACACTTTTTCGCTAGGTTATCTTATGTATGTAATTGTTTTAAGTTGTTCGTTCTCGTGTTGTCTGGATTTGTTTTTTATTTATAATTTTATCTATAATGGACGAATTGTAGCCGTTGTTCAGTGCAGTTTGTTTAATGATATTAAGTTCTTTGTTGTAATTTTCTTTTGAGAGTGGCGTATTAAGAAGTCTGTGTCTAAAAGAGTAAACTGCATCCATTTTGCGTGTATAAGGGTGATTTGAGCTGTTATGTATGACTGTGTCCGTGTGTGAAGGTTAATGATTAACGGAAAAATCTAATTTGTTTTGCGTTTTCGTAATAGTCAAGTCTAAAAAATTAATTTTATACGATTATGTAATGAGTTAATGTAATTTAAAAAAGAATTCAATTGTCTGTCCGTTCCAACAAGGCAAGCAAAGACATCATCCATGTATCTATACCACCATAAAAAACTTTTACTTAAAGGACGTTCTAGTATGATATTTTCCAAATTATCCATAAAAATCTCGGCTAACAAAGGACTAAGTGGGTTTCCCATAATCAAACCTTCCCTAGAAATATAAAACTGTCCATTAAATTTAAAATAATTTTGGTCTAAAGATACTATTAAGCAATCTAATAAGTCTTGTTTCACCAATGGGTTAACCTGTTTCCGAGTTATGGTGAAATCTATTATATCTATCACATCCATGTTGCGTTAAAACGGATTTTGATATCTTTAATTTTGTTGATTAATTCAAAAGAATTTTTTTTTGCAATTTTTGGTTTAAAACCTGTGTGGAACTTTAAAATATTTACTAACTGGTGGAGCTGTAACAAGTTTGTTTATGGGAAACCCACTTAGTCCTTTGTTAGCCAAGATTTTTATGGATAATTTGGAAAATATCATACTAGAACGTCCTTTAAGTAAAAGTTTTTTATGGTGGTATAGATACATGGATGATGTCTTTGCTTGCTTTGTTGGAACGGACAGACAATTGAATTCTTTTTTAAATTACATTCACTCATTACATAATCGTATAAAATTAATTTTTTAGACTTGACTATTACGAAAACGCAAAACAAATTAGATTTTTCCGTTAATCATTAACCTTCACACACGGACACAGTCATACATAACAGCTCAAATCACCCTTATACACGCAAAATGGATGCAGTTTACTCTTTTAGACACAGACTTCTTAATACGCCACTCTCAAAAGAAAATTACAACAAAGAACTTAATATCATTAAACAAACTGCACTGAACAACGGCTACAATTCGTCCATTATAGATAAAATTATAAATAAAAAACAAATCCAGACAACACGAGAACGAACAACTTAAAACAATTACATACATAAGATAACCTAGCGAAAAAGTGTCAAAACATTTGTCAAAATGTGGTTTCAAAATGGCTTTCAGAACTAACAGCACAATAGGAAATTTTTTTAAAAATAATAAAACGAAATGTCAAAAATTTCAAAAATCGGGTGTCTACAGGTTGAAATGTGGATCTCTAAAATTTATATTGGACAAACAGGTAGATACTTCAAGAAACGCATTAACGAGCATAAAAAAGCGTTTAAAAACAATAGCCTAGTTTCTAATTATGCTACACACTTAAACACAGAAAAACACATTTTTGACGACAATTTTGATATTTTACATACAGCCACAAAAAGTAGAAAATTTAATTTATTTAAAGCCATGGAGATTAATAAAATGAGACATTCAAACGTATTGCTTAACGATGAGTTATATTCAAATACCTCTCCTTTATTGAACTTAAATTCTCACAACCACATTAATAAAGGTTTTATGGTCATTTTTAGGTACATATAGTAGCAGGTAGTTTGTAAATATTACATTCGTTAAAGACAGGGTGTTGTCCAAACAATTGTCATGAAAAATATATAATTTCGTAAAAATCTGAACTTTTGGTTCTTATTTATTTTGATAGATTGATTTTCATCAAGTAAAAGCCACCTCAGTTCAATTTGTGAAAATTTTGAATTGCGTCTCTCGATGAACTAAAACTCAGAAAAGAAAATTTTTGAACAAAAAGTAAGTATCATCGGTGCGGCGAAACCATTGGGACACATCCATAGTTGAAAATTTCTTGTGAAAAGAGCTTGAACCCTCTGTATATGGAATAAATGTAACTGTTCTTTTAATATCCTCCATGCAGTTGATGCAATTCTCCAGGTACTTGTCTTCGGTTGCCCTTCAATAATATTTTGCAGAACAACCAAACTAACCAAAACTTCCAGATTCATGTTTTTTAGCATAATTTTCGTCGATAAAGTTGTTTTAGTTTATTTACTCGGTTATTGCATTTATTTTCAACAGAGGATGTAGTGTCTTTTTGAAGTTTGGAATAGGTGTCACTAAGGAACCCCATTGAGTTTTCTACATATATACTTTTCGCCATGACCACTGTAACATTGCCTTTGTCTGTTTTTATAACCAACAAATTTTGTTTTTATTTTTTTAAAATAACTTAGTCCGTCTCTCAATATCATAGAATCATATATATAGAATATCAATATCATAGAATTGATTGAAGTGATGTAAGTGGTAGCTCTCAAACGTATTAAACCTCTATGATGTGGTGGTTGGATAAGTAACCTCTGAAAGTAGTCTAAAATTGTTAACATCTGTTGGTGAAATTGGGAGGCTATACTAAGAACCAAGTGAAAGGAAACCATCAACATCATCAGGAAAATGTCTTTTTTCATTATTTTAAATTCGTTACGTTTTTTTAGGTTACCATTTTTGAACTTACTAAATAAAGTGGTATATCTAATATTTTGGGTATATAAAAAGTCATTCAGAATATGAAAAGGAATGTTAAACGCACTAACGCATTTCTCTAATTTGAGTTCAAGTGATTGAATGTAAAGGTTACAATCTGTAATTCTGAGTTACCTTCAGTTTAAACCACATCTACCATCATCTCAGAATCCAGGAGTCAACTGCAATCTGCGACATTCAAAAAGAAAAATTCATCTGTTCCTCTGGTGAGCCGGTGTTCTGTTCGTGTTAGTTAAAATTTTCATAGTATTATATGCGCGAGTACTGAAATCCAACCCAATCTTCCGATAGAAAGATCCCATTTTTGAACTAGAGGGGAAGTGGAGAGACAGTAACGGGCTACTGACAACTATAAAGTAACCCAATAACTACGGGATTGCCCAAAATCCTATGTATGAAGAAGGAGCAAATAAACGTGGTAACGCTCAGTTCCCTTGGCTTTTATTATGGAGTCGAGCTCAAAATTAAAGTTGAATAGCACTCACGATAAAGTGCGAAAATGTCCTCAAAACAGAGAGGGGCACTTCACAACTGGCTAATAATAGGTGAACAAAAACACGTCTAGATTGTAAACATTGAGTATAGAGACAATTAAAACCCATATGGAAGTTTAGGAATATCACATATTTTTAGTTAGTTTTATTCAACATGGCGGCATTAAATTCAATTTGCTACCACAGCATGAGTTCAACACAGTTGGTTTAGACATAGTTATTCTAAGATGCTATGCATCAGGGTTATTTAACAAGGGGTCTTAATCGGAGAATATACAGAGTAATGCACTGCGATAGTATATAAATAAAATATGACAATAATATAAGAATTGAACTGCAAACTGCAAGTCTAACTTTTCTGTCTGCAGACGCGCAGTATTCGCACCACCTGGCGTGCATTTATTTTTTAGCAGTTCTTAACACTTCTTCGAATATGGAAAGTAGAAATACGATGCCTCTTTCGCCGTCTCCGAGTTTTGTTGATAATAAATAATGAGCGGAACATAATTTCCAAGTTCTACTTATTTCATAAAATTTCAAAGTAAAAATAGCAGTCAAATTTTAGTTGCACAATGAACACTGGCCGAAATATGAAACTAAGTTCATGGCAGAATAAAAATTAGATTATCGAAGAGACTCGATGTTTTAAGTCGCTAAAAATTTGACTACGATTTAATTTTGTATTTCGTCTAATACTAAAATTCTAATTGTAATACAAATCCCTTATTGCTTAGGGGAGGGTATTGATTTGTTAGCAAGTAATACTGATACTAACTCCACACAAAAAAGTAAATACTGTTTTTATTTAAATATTTTTAAATTTCTAGTAATTCGTGATGTTTATTTACATAACATAACAAATTATTCATTGTTGATTTTTTTTAGTAGTGATGACGATAAATAGGTTTTATGTTTTTTTTTTTGAATTCACAGTTTTGAATAAATTATCAGATAATAATAAACTTCAGCTTATTATTTACCAATCACAATCCTTATACTATTTACAAATAATGTGCCTCTTGCTGATGAATCAAATTTGCTGACGTTTCGCCGGTCATTCTGTTGGCATCTTCAGAGCTTAGCTGAAACTAGTTTGGGGTTAATTTTCTTTCGTGGTTCAGAAATTTTATGAATTCTCGGATTTTTCTTTGTTCAACGAATTGATTACGTGTAAAAACTTGGTGGAATGAGATTTGATATCCGGTTTCAGGATTGTGTCCAGTAATTGCAGATGAGTTTATTTGTCGTAGACTTACAGGTTTTCTGGTGTTCTTTTAGCCTAGTAGATATTATTCGTCTTGTCTCTTCAATGTATTCTTGCGGTGTCTCAAACCGAGTTTTGCTTTTAACAGATCGAGAATATTGGGAGATTTTTGGACAAGTGGTAAATCTGGTGATAACATAATGTTTCTTGACAACTTTTGATATGTGGTCAGTTATGTTCTGAATGTAGAGAAGGACCACACTAGCTTTCGGGTTTATTTTCTTTGGGAGGTTGCAGATAAGTATATTTTGTGACACTTCTCTTATTTGAGAGAGAAGAGAGAGCGCAGAGTTTTAATTTTGAGTCAGCGATTGGGTTTGAGAGTTTTAGGGTTCTGCAAACAAAGGAGTTGATAACCGCTAACTTCTGAACCGGATGACGATGTGATAATGCATTAAGGCTTCGGCCTGTGTGCGTAAGTTTTCTCTAGACTAAGAATAGAATATAGACTAAGAATATCTAAGAATGAGAGAACCTATCTTAGGATTTATCGAGTTTTAATGGTCGAGAAAATCTCGGAGGAATGCTTAAATATGATGCCAATAAAAGTATCATTATCTATAGTTTTAGTTTTACATGCTAAATGTCGAAGACTCTCTTCTCAACGGGCTGATGATAATGAAGGATCCATTGCTGTTCCTGATGCTTGTTGTTTCTCGGTTAAATCTGAAATTGTAATGAGAGTTTTATAAATGGAGTCTGTATCAAAACTAACCAGAATATCGTTTGCACCTAATGTAATGGTTTTTAAAGTAAACACTATCAGTTTTTCCTGTAAAGGGTTTTTATGGAGAAAGTAGATATTATGCTAGAGAATACATTGAAGAACCAATAATGCTAACAATTAGTCGAAGTGGCAGCTGCTGTGAAAAATTAAATTGAATCTCGATATTTATGTGAGTTATAACTTCATCAGTTGCCACAAAATTTTAATAAAAGAAAATTTTTCTAAAATATTCATAGGATGTCTGCCTCGGTAGCAATTTTTTAGCTCTTATAGCTATAATACGACATTTCTAGAAAACTCTTAAGACTTCGCCGAATAGCCTTTTAATGCCTAAAGTTAACTTTCCAAGTTATCCTCCTTCTTTTTAAAAAACTCCTGGGATTTTTGTGATTCATATCTTTTGCTATGAAATGGGAGTTTTTGAAGTCGAAAAATGTATTAAAGGTTGACAAATAAAAATTCGAAATCGACTGCATTGTATGTCTAAAAACTCAAAATTTATTTCGTTTTGAAATGAACCAGTGCGTTTGCACGTATGGCAGCAGCATTTTTTACCTTCGATTTCATTCTACAAAATCCGGTTTTTAAGGAAGCAATCTCGTAGGGGCGTCAACGAGAGAATAAAAGAAACATCTGGATTTTTCGAATTGATTAAATGGCCTACATCCGTTTCAGTCCTTTTCGGCATGCCAATGTTTGTCACTGGCAAAAACGCGGCGATCGCCGACTTCTTTTTTCGAATGTTTTATTTCCATTCGGGTTCCTTTGAATTATTCCAAGCGTTTCAAAGTATGTTAATGGATTATATACATTTTCATATCTAGATCCTTTCTTTCTAATATAAAAATTAATCAATCTACTAGAAGATTATTTGATTAAACTTTCAATGTTTTTAATTCGCATGGAAGTATGAAAACGTTAGCTTGTCAGACTGATTCATGAGATTTAAAAAAAAATGTGAACACATCAGACTCGTTTGATTCTCTAAAATTTCATTAAATTTATCAATGCCAAGCAAGTGACAATTCCAGATGATTGATCGACGATAAAGAAAAAAAGAGCCGTATAGCAAATTTGTCGCGATGTTCTCAGATCAGTTTTTTTTTTTTTTAATAACTAGCTGACCGTTTTCAATATATCGAATGGCATGGCAGAAAAAGGGCTTATGCGCCATGATCTTCCACAGAGATCCGTTTTTGGAATCACAAATTCTACTGAATAAAGTTGAAGTGACCCTGAGTGCTATACAGAAATGATTTTCATAAACAACAAGAAAAAAACTCAAAAATTGACCTTAGCATGCGGCAAAATAACCTTCTTATATCTGTTGAATATAACTCTGCTGGGGTTTGGCATTGACATTTCAGATTTCAGATCTATACAGAAAGTTATCCAACAGATTGTTCTGAGAGCAGCTTACTTCGGTCTATTCCATAACTTGATGTCCTACGGTATTGCGCTTTGAGAAAGGTTTTCGAATTGAAAAGAATGACATTTTGGTACTTGAGTAGCTCAGCAATGAACTAATCTTTTCCCATTACATAGCTAGCTGTTAACACGTACTTAGAACAGTTCTAAATATCCATAAATATTTTGATGAATATGTCAAAATTGTTGAGCTGCGTGACCGTAGCATCAGGCTGGCATCAGCTATCGCTCATATCTTTTTCAATCTCAGTTTGATAAGACCCATATAAATTTTTTTAACGCACCATCAAATACTATCCAATCTCTAGCACGCGGAAAGTTTAAACGAATAATGAAGTAATTTATGTTTGAGGTTCCATTGTATGGAGCTGGACAATTAGAGCTGCTTAAGTAAACAAGACCTGCAATACAACTTTGATTATATGTATCCATAATTTACGTATTTACTTAGAGAATAGGAGAGAAACTCACTTATTTTTAACTTGGAGAACGAAAATATATGTTTTGTAGCTTATAAACCAAGCAATTACAAGTTAAAACAACACTTCCAAAACTATAAAAATGGAATGCTTGCAAATATTCCATTAGTAATAATGCAACGTTATAGGAATCAATAATAACCAACGATATTTAACTACTAGTTAATTTATTGATAATTTCAATGAACTAAGAAACTTCAAATATGAAATAACTGACATGAGAATATTTAGACTTAGAACTTTATGTCCATTATTAGTTGGTAAGAGTCTATTTAATTGTTGCTCTAATTTCAACACTATTACTATAAGTGGATTTGACTTTTAATTTAGATTGAGCTATTAAATTTTGCTATTATTGAGCAACCTTAACCCAAGAACAACTTAAGCATTATATTTGAATGTTGAAGAATAAGAATAAGCTGTTATTATTGCAAGGGTTCAATACTGCAAATTTTTCTATCAAATATCAGTTAAAAATCAGTTTCCCGTGTGCAAATTTACTTAAATGACATGGAGGGCAAGAATGTGATTTAATGATCCCGGCATTCAGAATATACGGCGTAATTGTACTATTTTAACAATTTAGTTTCGAACCCAATCACTCGAAGTATGATTTCCGTGTTGTTACGCTCCCATTGTTAATTATCTTTTTGTCCCATATATTTGACAATGGGATGTTAAAGTCTTTGTGCTATGCTAATTCCACATTTCGCCCTCACGCGATTTCTTTTTTTTGTTATCTTGTTATTTGCGTCGGATCGGCACACACACACACACACACACCCACGCACGCACGCACCCACACACACTCACACACATACACACACACACACACACGCACGCACGCACCTACAAATACACATACACATACACATACACACACACACACACACACACACCCACACACACACCCACACACACACGCACGCACTCACACACTTTGATAGTGCATGCCAGAAAGCTAGCAAGACGGTATCCAGCTGGTCATTGCGGGAGCAACGCCTATCGACCTATTAGCGTTTGAGAGAGCCAAGCTCTATGACGCTAAAAGGAAATTCGACAACTTCAAGGAGGCAAAAACAAGGATAAAAGCGGAAACCCAGCAAGAGTAGCAGGACGACGGGGGGGGACGGGCAGATGGACGGAGCGTCTGATTCCGAATATGAATATCTGGTTTTCTCGAAAACACGGGGACACAGACTTCTATCTGATCCAGCTACTGACGGGACATGGACAGTTCAACGCTTATCTTTTTAGGATGGGCTTACACAACACCCCTATGTGTAAGTATTGTCCTGATAAAATTGACGACGCCGAACACACGTTCTTCGAGTGTGCTCAGTGGAAGGACCATAGAAGTAGCACCGAAGAGATCATAGGCGCCAGGCTCTCAAGTCTGGTGACGTCTATGATCGAACAGGAGGGAAACTGGTCGGCTGTTGCAACCTACTCACAGCGCCTTCTGAAAGATAAAATTTCAGCAAGGGACCAGTAGCCAAAAGTAGGCGCCATGGGGCGCAGCACGGACTGGATTGATGTAATGCTAACGCGGTTCCAATCCAGTCCTCCCCGTACCATCTGCGGGGGAGGGGAAGAGGAATGTTTTTTTTAGTGGGTAAAAATCTCCACACTACCGCCTATCGATATCTGCCGCAAGATGGGCGGCAGAGTTTACGATGATGGTGTTTTCGTACCTCTTTACAAAAAAAAAACACACACACACACACACATACACACACAAACACACACACACACACACACACGCAAGCACGCACACACACACCCACGCACGCACGCACCTACACACACTCACACACACTCACACACACACACGAACTGCCAAGAAATGTTAAACTAGTAGCGTATGCAGATGATGTAGCCGTAGTGATCGTCGCAAAACATCTTGACGAGATAAACCATATTTCGACATAACCTTTGACAAAGTCAACCAGTGGATCAACAAAATGAATCGCCAACTGGCGAAGCACAAGACTGCGATAGTGCTTATTACCAGCAGAAAAGCAGTAGAGACCATCAAGCTGAAAGTCGGTACACATGAAATAACATCACAACCGTATATTCGATATTTGGGCGTGATGCTTGATGTTTAACTCAATTTCAAACAACAGGTGGAACACATCAGTGCCAAAGCATCAGTAGTAAGAGCTAGTCTTGCATGACTGATGCTTAACGTCGGCGGCCCAAAGCAGAGCAGAAGATTACTACAGTTGTCACATCGGTGCTTACTTACGGAATATCCATTTGGGCAGTTGCGTTGAAGCTGCAAGAGTCATGGAGAAAGGCTGGACCAGTGTATCGTCTAAGTGCTGTAAGAGTAGCCAGCGCCTTCCGCACTATATCGGAGGAAGCAGTGTGTGTCATTTCCGGAACTTTGCCACTCAGAATTCTAGCTGAGGAAAGACAGAACCTTTACCAACGAAAGAGGTCAACTACACTAAGTGCCGAGGAACTTAGAGCTGAAGAACGGCAGAACAGCATCACACGATGGCAATCGCAATGGGATACCGCAACAAACGGAAGATGGACATACCGTCTCATACCAAAGATCGACTTTTGGCTGAACCGGAGTCATGGCAAGGCCAACTATTATCTAACGCAGATGTTGCCAGAACATGGATGCTTTCGGACGTATCTTCATCGCTTCAAGCATGATGATTCACCGGAATGCCCGTCCTGCCCAGGAACTTGAAGAAGAACATTCAACCAGAGACAATAGTAGAAGCAATGCTGTCATCAGGAGCTGCCTGGAATGCTATTAATTCGTTTGTCACGGAAGTCCTTACGGAACTCCGTTCTATTGAGAGGAGAAGAACAAATGTCCACTAGAAGAAAGAAGAAAATATAAAATATTAGCTACCAGAAGGAAGAGCAGCAGCTAATTCCTCTTTCTGCGATGTAATGCCTAAAAGGCGGGAAACACACACACACACACACACACACACACACACACACACACACACACACACACACACACACACACACACACACACACACACACACACACACACACACACACACACACACACACACACACACACACACACACACACACACACACACACACACACACACACACACACACACACACACACACACACACACACACACACACACACACACACACACACACACACACACACACACACACACACACACACACACACACACACACACACACACACACACACACACACACACACACACACACACACACACACACACACACACACACACACACACACACACACACACACACACACACACACACACACACACACACACACACACACACACACACACACACACACACACACACACACACACACACAGAAATCATAAAGCGCCGGGATTGGACGGAATTCCCTGACAACCATTATAAATGCAACACCGACATTATTCCTAAATCTGTTATTATTTGCCTGACTGACCGTTCTATCAAGTTTTTTGGTCCGGATTTCAGAAAAACGCAATCGAAAAAGCCAAACTGGCACTCAAACTAAATGATTATCCCGAAACACTAGTCAACAATATCATCAAAAAACGCGTCTATCTTTCTTACAACGAAAACCAAAAAAATTCTAGAAAACAGGAAAAACAAAAAAACACCTATTTGTCTCTCATACCGGGTATGTCAGAAGTTTTTATCAAAATTTTTGCAAACCACAACATTACTGTTGCTCACAAGGGTTTTAATCTAATGAAGAACAACTACAGCAAATTAAAAGACAAAATACCGGATGGGAAAAAAAGTCATGTTGTTTACAAGATTCCATGTAACGACTGCCCTCAAAAGCAGAATAAATATGATAAAAAAAATACTACTGCGCTGTGTGTGTGTGTTTTTTTTTCTATTCTGCTACACATACGTATACCTTCAATATATAGAAAAATATATTTAAAAATCCTTATGTGTACACCACAATTCTTCTTCGAGAGATAAATTTTTGGAAATCCTCTGAATTCCACTTGATCCCCATGGAGTGCCACATAATTCCGTTATAGTTCTTTTTCTTTAAAGATAGACATTAAAATAATAAGTTATTATTAAATAATACATAAAATAAAAAAATCAATTAGTACAATTACAAAATAGGGTGGTAATTAATGCGCTAAAAAGCAGTCGAAAGCGGTATTTTACTTGTGTATGTGGTTTAATTATTGTAATATATTGATTTAGATCTTTTAAATATATATGGAATTTTGTTTCCATTCTGTATCTGCCGCGTTTTTTGGGCCGGATGTTGGATGTTCCGTGCTCTGTGAGGACGATCCGTAAGTACGCGACAAGTACGACGGATCATTCTTTCGGCTTTCCGGTAAGCTGGACCTGTTCCGAAACGCAAACATTCTAATATATATTTTTTAACTGGAGCTCATATAAAATACATTACACGTGAACCTCGAGAATATCTAAAAAATGAATGCACTTTTTGAAAGAACAAATGCGGCAACGCTGGTGGCGCTTTAACAGCGTTGAAAGCGAATAAGTATATGGAAAAGCGTATACCAGTGACGCCCTAATGTTTATCAAGTATAGTGGCGCTAATAGCAGGCTGTCCAAGACGCACCTCTAATTTTTTAACTAAACAATCTTGAGTCGCGTTAACGATCCGGATCGAATTAAGAGATGTACCTACCATACTTTAGGAGCCCCTACTCCCCTTTGGAGGTGATGAAATAAGTTTTTTGCCATAAAATATAAGTTTGTCATATTACTTGATACGATAAGTACAAGACTTGCATCGTTTTTTTTTTTTTAAATAGGTTTAAAACCGTGCGAGGTGAGGTTTCATATATGAAATCAACCAGTCAATGGGGACACGAGATATGGAAAGTTTCAGCAGAGTCGTCGCCACATTGCTTTGAAAACACATATTTATGGAAATATAGAACCTCTTTTTTTACAGGAATATTGCGACGTAGACCAGTATCTTTTTAAGTCGGCGCGGGTAAAGAAGACACAGAAGCTCCAGTCGGGTACCATCGGTAAAGTAGGCGACTGATATATTTCCACCACTACATATGTTGGATTGGAATTTCCCATTTGATGGTTTGACTGACTAAATGAGAAAACTTGAAGGTAACCTCTTACGGAATGCTATGGAAATATGTTTGGGAACATATTGGTGCATTACTCTGTCTTCCAGTCAATTTCACATAAGCTTTGCACGTATTATAGAAATGCCACCTACTTTTTTGTGTTAATACTATTGAAAGTAGTAGGTGGTAGTCGAGTTGGTAGGCCAATGTTAGTAATATAGGTGGACTTTCGAATATCGCCTCCCAGAGGGTGTTTCTTTTGAACATAATACATACGGGCGTTCAATAACTCTCACTGCTTAGACTGGATGGCTTTTAGAGTGGGCGTAAACTATGGTCATATACCCTGATCAAATTCAGAACTAGAAAATCGTTGTGTCACAGCATTGAAAATAATAGTAAAATTTATTGTAGACACCTAGTAGAGTCTCGAAAATTTCAATTTTTAGAGCCAAATTCTAATTGTTTAAAATAATTTATGATGTTATTGAGTTTCATTTCAATTATTTTTTACTTAAATTTTATGCGTATTAAACCTTACTTAACAATATATTATTCGTTATCGCAGGTAGAATTAATGACATTGACTGACCTGATTTTGTCCAGGGGGGCGTAGTTTGGTAATTTATAAAACTGGGGAAAGTTTCGTATCTTCAAATCGTAAACACATATCATTAGAATTATATTTTTAAAATATTTATTAAGACATGTAGTGAATAACTAAATGATTTAGCAAAAATATTCACACACATTGCGGAAAACGTATAAATTTATATTAGAGAAAATTAACTGTTTTTAGAGGTTGGTTTTTCAAAAGGTGGGGATTTAGTTAAAGAACAGATATAGACTAAAGGGAGGCACTGTGATAAAAGTTAGAACTAAAAAAATCGATGTTTTCGTGTCATAGCGAAAGATGAATTATTATTAAAAATAATAGTTGCACCATTTGTGAATGAAAAGTATGCAAATCATCGGCTAGATTCGCATGCCTTTTTACAAAATCAAGTATTTAAGTAAATTGGTAAATTATTTTTAAGGTGGCTAACAAAATACACACACAGAAAAGTTCAAATACTGTTCGTTGATGTAGCGCATAAAAAATTAGGAAAGAGAACGACTCGTGTATGGCATACGTAGTTAGTTCGTAATATTAGTCTGAAGGTTGCAACACAGTGAAAAAGTGATGCGTTTAAGTGGGGTTCAGAGAGGCTATTTGGACTGTAGAAGTTTTTCTTTGAACGGGGTTAAATAGCGTCTCCTAGAGCATTAGCGGAGAAGGGCATTACAGTATTTAGCATGAGCGTCCAGCTTTCATTGTTGTTGAGATTACCACAGAAACACACTTTTATGTAGTAGTAGCAGCGACTTTTTAGTTAAGATGGCTTTCGAGTTTGCTTCATGGGTTGATCGGAGATTAGAGGGTAGATACAGATAAGTTACTAGCCTCAAGGATCAGCAATAAATAAAAGAAATTGATGAAACAGTCAGGTTAATTGGGATATCTGAAAATCATCAATAAAAATAAAATTAATTTTGAAAATATTATAAAATAAAAAAAATAAAATAGCAAAGAAAATCAAAATCATCAATAAGATAGATAAATTAATTTTGTAAATACTAAATAAGTAAATTAAAAAAATGTATATGGTTTCTAATATCCTATTTTATTAATGAAAAGTTTTTGTTTTGCAGATATTATTGCTGATGGTCAGGCGAACAATATGATCATATCAAGTCTCATTGCCACCTTTGGGACCGCCATTGCTTTTCTTACATTGGTGTTTGCTTATGGGTCAAGTCGGCGGGGTCTACAGCCATTGTGGGGGAGCTAGGGAGTCGTGGGGAAGGAGGACACGCCCACCAAAGTAGAGGAGTGGGATTCTCCCAGAGCATACATATCTCTACTTGTTTGATGGGCTAGGTCTTACCCATAAAGCAAAAAGTATAAACCAGGAATTTCTTATTTGTGCTTCACTTAAGGGAACTGCATTTCCATCCAGTAGCTTTGCAACTGGACCTGGTCGTACCTATGAAGCCCAAAGTACAAGTCAAGATTTTGTTCTTTGTGTTCCGTTTAAGAAAACTGCAAAAACAGTGGGCACTTTTTATTTTATAAAAAAAATATTTATTGAAATAGAATACAGATACTGCCATCATAAAATTTTGGATAAATCAAAGTGTTGTTTTTTGTCATAGCTTCCAAACTCATTACTTCTGAGAAAACTTTGGAGGATAATTTGTTCAACAAACTGTTTGATGTAATCTTTTATGTATTCCAAGAATAGCTTTCGCAACAGTCACATCTTGTAGACCTCGTGATTAGATATCGGATAGTAATAACCTGACATTCTTCCATCAACGGCTAACATAAGTCTTGCCAGGGTGCTACCAAGTTCATATGCTACGGCTGCTCTAAGTTCATATGCTCAATGGCACTGAGACTCGTGTTACATGCTGTCTGTGCAATGTGAGGTCTATTATCATGCATTAATGTAAAATGGAACAACCTTTTGGAGGATATGTAATGATGTTAGAGCTCCATTTTCAAAAAATACAAGATTTGTAAATCGCACTTTCTTCTACAATCTCACTCGTTAGCCCAAGGGATTGAAGCACTGCTTCCGCCAATCTTCTAAGTATAGTTGTTACATTACTTACATTTACAGGTTGTTTATTAGAGGCACAGCAGTAGATGTTTGATATCTTAAAGAACTAATATGAGAAAGCGATCATCCGCTGCAGTAGTTTATCTCCTTCTGTCAGAGCTTTCCGTCTGTAAATACACATTCCAAGCATTTCGAACTGTAGACCGAGGAATTCTCAGAGTATTGAAGACATAACTTTTACTACGGCCATCCGTAATTAAGGCAACAATTCGACCTATCTCTGCGGTAGTTAATACCATGATGACAACTAAATAAATTATTGCTCTACTGCAACTGCCAAACATTCTGTCACCACAATGACATACTTAGCCACCGTCGATTGTCTCATACAAGGAGTAGTGATAATGGTTTTATTCAAAAAATAAAAGATTTAGGATACATAAAGGATTATAGCAAACAAGTTGAAACCCACATTATCAACCTAAATTTTCCCACAGGGCGTTTTGAAGCTTTGATAAAAAAATGTTTTATTTTAGTCCCTATGATACTGCCCAAAACAAAAAAAAACTAAAATAACAAGAAACAATTAAAATTAATCGATTTACTAATTAGCAAAAAATCCTGAAAATCGAATGGAAAATTAAAAATTATCCAAAATTTTTGGATGATGGAATTTTTTGCCCGAGAGTATAGCTTTAAATAATTAGTTTTTAAGAAACCTAGCAAAAGAAACATACCTTATCTTCTTTCACTATAATTACGTTTGGGGTGTCAGTTACGCATTAGACTTACAATATATACCATTTATTGTAACATCTTTCTGACATTAAACAAATCACAACAGAACTTTTATCTTTTGGGAATTTACTTAGTTTTAGTATCCGAAATGGAAACTTGACATAGATGTTGTGGAAAATGATATTGATACAATACATGTTCCTTTTGCTTTATACGAATCAGAAACTTAATTATATATTCGTTGTGTTGTACAATTTCATGAATCTGCAACTAGTTCAAAAGTTAAAAGTTAAAAAATTTATATTAAGATTCGTCTGAAAAATAAAAAAGCACTTTGTAAGATTTGTCTAAAATAATTTCAATTTAAGAGAGCTCAGAGGAAATAGTAGGTCAAAAAGTTTTCCGGATATGATGTGTCCAAGTCAGTTCATTTTTATTTCAACTATTATTATTCCCTTGATAAATTTAAAATATACTCACCTTATCGAAATGAGCAATGAGTAATTAGTAGTGCCGCTTATAAGCCACTTTTGAGGGAATTTTGAATTTTCGTGAACATTCGGGTTCGGAAAATCTTCGGCAATGGCCGGAGTCTGCATGTGCAGTATAACTCGTACAGCTGTATCGAGAATTTCTTCAAAAACCGAAGGAATTTTTAAGATTAGAATTATGGGTTCCCGGTGAGCAACTTACCTTTTGCGAAAGAGATTGATGATGTATCATCAATATATTCAATTGACTCGTCTTTTGGGTTTTTAAATTTAATTTTAATTTAATTCGATCCTCAGATTCTTCGTCTTTCATAACCATATGCTGCTGATTCCCAGGTTTAACAGAAGTTTCTTTGGAACCAAACAATTTAGAGGCCAATGAATCTAAATATTTGGTAATTGGAGAAAATTTATTTTTCATTACTTTCACCAAAAATTATATGAAACTAAAGAAAAAGGTTGACGGTATCGACTTCACTCCCTTTATCTATTGTTAAGAAGTTGTACTTCTCTTTCAAAGAAGAATATTTCTTTGAATTTATCAAAAGTGAAATCGTTATAACATGACGTACATTCAAATAATCCTATTTAAATAACATTATCAAATTGCCACGAAATAAATGTTTTGGAATATGAGAATATGTTGGACACAAGTAAAAGCAATCTATATTTCTATGGATAGTCATACAAAAACATTCTTGTATTATATTTTTGCTTGCTTGCACCTGCTTTCTCGGATGGAGGAATGTTGTTTTCCTAATTTTTAAATCTATAGTAATTGATTCCTTTGAATGGTTTTAGAAGCATTTTCAAATACTGGTATTTAACTTGAAATAAAGATTTTGAATAGAACCATTAGGATGTTCAATTAAACTTATTATGACCTTTGTTTTCCCACAGTTTAAAGGTCAACAATAAGACAGTTCATTGGCGATGGCAAAAGTTCCCGATGTCTCTTATAACTTTTTAAAACTTGCGTATCGTTGTTGAAAACTAGTAAGATAATTGTTTGTGGTATCATTCTAATCAACGACAAAATGATGTTAATGGTAACACTACAATATAAATGTTATCAATCAATACAGCGCAATTCAGTTGCTCATAAGCTTCGGGCTCAGGAGTCACAGAAGTATAAAATGCTTGTCAAACGAACACAGCCTCTCAATAGTAAAACACACAGTGGATCTGGTATTGTGTTACTCATAAATGACCCTAGGGATATAATTTCTACGTTCTTCTCTGCACGAAAATGTTATCAGGATGGATGGATGAGCAGCTAAAACAATTTATCACACCGAAAGTTTTTAACTATATTTAGATTTAGACCGAAATAATATTTGCTATGAAAACCTCAGAGCAACCCAAGACATTTGCTCTATTCCAGAGGAAATAAATCTTTATGACGTAATCACTTTCAAAAATAAAAGCAACCAATTAATTCATATGCATTTCGAAACTTAATCATTTCGATAAATTTGAGTATAAAGATTTATTTTATTCTCTCAAAAATCTTAAAGAAACACTACTAAAATCTAAAATATCCAAAATTTATATAAAAAAAAAAGATTAATGAACTTATAAGATTTTTATTTAACATAATCACAGTCGTATTAATTAAAAAAAAATAAAAGAAAATTAAAATTAATCCAGCCTAAAACAAAAAACGAACTTACAAGGATACTTGACGAAAATCACAATTCATCAATTTCTAGACATTCAGGCTATATTCATAAACGAATCAAAGAAAATTTTAAAAATTCATTAAATCCTGCCAGTCTTACCAAATAAACAAAACTAACAAAGTGTAAACGCAGAAACTATGAAAAATGTTGTAAGAAGAATTAAATCTCGATTAAATCCTTACAAACGTTGGAAACAAACTGTAACCCGAAATTTAACTGAATTGAACTGAGGTGGCTTTTACTTGATGAAAATCCATTTATCAAAATAAATAATAACTAAAAATTAAGATTTTCATGAAATTATATATTTTGACATGATAATTGTTTCGACAACACCGTGTCTTTATCAAACATTTGATAAAGACAAAACAATTGTCATGTTGTTAAAACATTGTCAAATATGTAGTTTCGTGAAAATCTGAATTTTTAGTTCTTATTTATTTCTTATCTATTCAGAAAAACGTAACTAAACGCAAAACTAAAACGCAGTGGATCGTACCTGCGTCGTTCCGCCGGCGGATCGATCTGACTTGTGCCGTTTGTACAACCCAAAGAGGGCTACAATAAGGAGAAACAGAGGGTCATATAATGTCTTGTTTTAGAATTTTCTTTATTTGTTTATCAACCTCTGTTTTATGAACTTCGATAAATTTTTGAACTTATTGGGGTAGGATCAGACTGATATTGTTTTATAGCTTTGGTCGAGGTTAAATGATCATTTGGCAAGTTATATATATATATATATATATATATATATATATATATATATATATATATATATATATATATATATATATATATATATATATATATATATATATATATATATATATATATATATATATATATATATATATATATATATATTCTACGCAGATATCTAGAACCGAAGATTTCTCTTCATTATTTAAATGTTCTAACTTTAGGTTTTCTATTAAAATGTTAAGACGGTCCACAGTAGGAATTTGGATTTAGGTTAAGAATTAGGGACTGATTTTCATTATATGGTTCTAAAAATAATCTAATTTCTTCAATTTTAAGTTTTTGTTATTAGCGTTTGAGAGAGTAGTGAGTGACTTTTATTAAAAATTTTATATTAGGGCAAACACCTTCAGATATCAATTTCGATAATGGTTTCTGAGCGAGGCTCTAGATAATAAACATTTCAATTTAATATTTATTTATTAATATTGGGTATACAGTTTAACTTAAGCACATTTTTCTTGAAGCAAAGTGTAGCTTCATGACCTTTTAGGTAATCATTTCCTATTAAACCATCAAAGGGTAGATTTGATTTGGCTTTAACAATGTGAAATTTCACATCGAAACATTTGTTAAAAATTTGTATATACTGCCTATAGTAGAAATAGGGGAATTGACACTTAAACCGTTTAAGGTTATGGTTTCAGAAGGGTTATATTTACATTGACTTTGTTTTAATTTTTCTAATTTAATAAGAGAAACATTAGCTCCAGTATCTATCAGAAATTTGAATTCTATACCATGAAGGATAGTTTTGATATATACTACGTTCTCATTTGTCAATAAAATATTTTTTGTATTTTGAATATTACTAGAAATAGTAGAGTAAGAATTAGAAGTATTCTCAGTCTTTTTTGGAACAGAGAGTGCAACATGATTTGGCCAAGATGCATTGGAATATTTAGACTGATTTTGTGGTTAGTATTATCCGATTTAGAAGGAGTTGGGTGAGAATTTGGATTGGAAAGTAAAATTTGAGTTGGTTTCAGGCTATTTGAATGTCGGACTCTACTTGAGAGTTGTTGAAGTTTAAATTAAAATTCACCTGTTCAGAATTTCCTACTCTTTTGACGTTGAGAATTATTGGAGGGTTGATTTCGTCTTTACTATTATACTCTCGTTTTCTACATTCCGAAATTAAATGTCCACGATTTTTACAGTAAGTGCAAAACTTGACATTAACATTTTGATTATTTGAAAATCCTCGAAAATTATTTTTTTTCATTTAATTTAAGTTACAAAATATTCAAATTTTAAAAATTATGTTTGTGAAGGTCAAAGAAAAATAAAAGTTATTAGAATAAAGGTTAACGGAAAACTATAATGCTTGTTCAACAAAAACAAAACAATCGATAAGAAAATCGTATAACTTACGAATTGCCCTGCGCTGTAACCCAGAACTGCAATTGTTTTCTACACTGGCGTTTTGGTTTCTTGCCTGAAGAATTGAGATCCACCAAATTTCGTAGAACCTCTAGGCTTTTGTCTCGGAAACCGTAGCTGAAAGTATCCCACTTCTGACACCAACTTTTTGTTGTGTTACTCAAAAAATGACCATGTATTTTCTACGTGCTTCCCTGCACCAAAAATGGATGGATGGAAAGACTTTAACTATTTTATTTAAAGTCTTAAAATTATTACAAGTATAGAGCAGGTTTCACCTAACTTACTCGAACCTGAGACTTGAGTTAGACTGGTTTTTTCTGGAAATCTGAGAAAGAAGATGCTCCTTGCGTTCAAATGTTTACTTGATTGTGAGAGTAAAACGTCTTTCCATGTTGGATTGGAAGTGATGCTATGTGTGTTTAGGATATTAATTTATATTTACTTTACTCCACTTAAGATTTGTTTGATAAACAAAATGTATCACATGAAGAATATACTTGCGAGCTAACTAACTTTTATATAAATTGTAACAATGTTAAATCATCCAATAAGGCATTAGTAAAAAGTATAAGTAAATAAATAACTAAATTTTAAGGAAATTTTAGGCTAGGTATCTAACACTGGAACGAAATTAGAGAAAATACATAAAAGGGGAGATTTAGGTATTAATGAACTAGACGAAGCGTGCAAAGAACATGACATAGCGTATCATCAAAACAAAGATTTAAAGGACAACATGTTCACATTCCTCACTCGCATCTATGGGTGTAAAAGCTGCAGCTCTAGGTGTAGCAGCCGCTGTCAAATTTGGAATGGGATGTAAATCTAAAAGCAAGCATTCTAAAAGGAGTAAATTTTAGAGAAATAGTAAAAAAACCAAAAAGATTACGCATGGTGCAGTAACGACAGTTATGAAAGCAGAAAAGTCGCTAAAAGGTAAAAGAGTTAAACCTAATATATATACCGAAGATTAGAAGTTTTCAGCCACTTTTGAATGTCCGGGATAAGGCTGTGAGTCCAGCGCCCCTTTGAGGATTCATCCCATTTTTGTTGCCGCTCATGCATGAGATTTCTATTCCAGTGCATTTTAAGCTGACCTTCAAATCTTGCGGTTCTTTCAGTCATTATATGATCTATTGGGGATATACCAGCGATCACTTCGGACGCATCTAGTGAGGATGTTCGGTATGCTCTAATTATTCAAATGGCGAGTTTTCTTTGCTTTGCAACTGGTGGTGGGGGTGAATTTTATTTTTTAAAAATTATTATTATGTTTTTTCTAGCTACAACATCATACTGCCATTAAACTGACAAAACCGCTTTCAATATTTATATTAGAAATACTTTTTTTTTTCATTTTAAAGACACACCGCATAATAAACGAATAAAAGCTTGCCCTGAAAACTCATTTTTGTGTTATCGTTTACCTCGGTATACCTTCAAAACTATATGATTTATCAAAAAAGTGTTTTGTATAAATGACATGCATTAAAGATCAACGATTCAGTCACCTTTTCAAAAACCCAATCTGACGAATCGTTGTTTGTTTTAATTTGCAAAACGCGAAGCCATGTCATGAATATCACGGCCGCTAGCGAAGCAACGACAAAGGGTCAGATTTGCGAGGACAATTAGGCAATAGACGACTTAGCGGTTCTGACGTGCGCTTAGGATTGTTTTTGCTTGTAGACTCTATTTCGTATAGTTTTGATTTTGTTTTCCATATTAGTGATCATCACAACTTTTGATTTTTTAAAATGTTTCTGGCAAAGTACGTATTTTTAAATGTTGAATGGCTACTGAAGTCACTGAAGCTAGCGCCGCTATGTTTTGAACGTAATGGCCGTTTTTGTGCTGTATCCGCCAAAAAAATGTCATTACTAATTTTCTCGTATTTTGCTTAGTAATAAGCAATATTTCTAAAACTCGTATTGGTTTTGTCACAGTTTTTATGCCATTGTAGACTAGTTCCTTTATGTCATTAAAATTCAAAAAAATGTGCAGCTGCGGAATTTTGTATATTCAATTAATTTTTGCTTGGATATTTGTTTTGACGTTATGAGCTTATTATTTATCATTGTTACTCAAAAATAAATAGGTTTTAGTCACATTAAAAAAGAGAACTATTTTGACACTCAAAACGCAGACATAAACAATATACAAAATCATCCTCGACGCGAAAGCAGGTCTACGTCGGAACCGCTAAGTCGTTTATTGCCTGGCTGTCCTCGCAAATTTGATCCTTCCTCGCTGCTTCGCTGGCGGCCGTGATATTCACGGCATATTCGTTAAAGACACCCTTATAATAGTATATTATGCAATAAGTGCGGTCGGTAAACGGCATTTGACTCACGAGTTTATTTGACACGAGCGCAGCGCAGCGGTGCGAGTGTTTAATAAAATAGTGACTTAAAAAGTTTACCGAACATGTTACGCGTTATGACCGTTAGTTTTTAGGAACATTTTCGCAAAACAACACGAATACGTTCACTGACATGACCGTCAGAATTGACAACGTCAAAATTCTAAGCGTGGGAAATATCTCCGTAAACATCCGATTGCTCTTAAACCCGTGCGGTAAAATCCCGGAAAAGCTCGAAGTGTCTCGGATTCGTGGAAAAAGAAACTAGTAAAGTGACGCTTCCCGCGCGCTAGATAGGTGTGTAATTAGGTATTTTACGGACGGGAGTAGAAAAAAAGTTTGCTGAACGTGTTGCATACTATACTTTTTCTACCACCGTTAGTTTTTGGGTACATTTTCGCAAAACAACACGAATACGTTCACTGACATGGCCCTCATGACAAACGTCAAAATTCTAAGCGCGGAAAAACATCCCTCCCAAACCCGTACGGTAAAATCCCAGAAATGTCCGAATTGGCTCGGATCCATGAGAAAAGAAACTGACGTGGTCAAGTGACGCTTCCCGCACGCTAGATCGGTGCATAATAAGATATTTTACAGACGGGAGTAGAAAAACATAATAATTTTTTGACATTTGATGGAAAATTCACACCCACCACCCACTTCACAGTACGATTTTTACACGACCAATTGATTTTGCACTCTTAGGGTGTAAGAAATGGTAAAAAGTGGTTTTTAAATTTTAGCAAGAAAGTGCAGACGAAAATCTATTCACTTAAATGTTCAAAATTCGGGAGAGAGTTTTAATTTTTTTCGTTCCTTTTCCAAGAAAAGCTTCTTTACGATCAAGATCAAAATTAGAACCAAAAACAATAACAATTATTTGGAACATATTTGTTTCTTCTTTCACTGGTTCCATGGTAGTTATTTTTTCTGCTGTCTTTTAGCGCTGGTATATTTCGTCGATGTTTATTTTTGAAAGACTGGCGATATCCAGGACTTTCGTTACGTTCATTTACGTTAACTGGATATTTGGTAGAAATATTGGTTTTCCGACCTGGATTTTTATATCGTTGAAAAATTTTTCTCCGTTAATTTCTATTTTACAGTTTACTGGCTTCTTAATCAGTACTGATTAGCAGTTTTTCAAGCTTTTGCGGCAGAATAACTTAATTTTGAGTGATACAATTGTTTCTGACAGGTTCATTTTTGTGATGGGGCAGTTTCCCATGTGTCGTCAAATAAATTCGGGACGCGTACATCTCGGGGGTGAGTTGCTTTACAGAAGTAGATTTCGTCGATGACTGGACATGTTTCTGCGATGAATTGTCTCCTCCTCTCCGCTTGTGCCATATAAGGGTATTGGAGTATAAAAATTGGTTGATGTTTGATTATTGGGAATCTATGGTAAAAGGAAAATATTTTGGATCTTAAAATTGGCACATGGACTGCAAAGATCACTGTCGAGTCAGCAAAATTTAATTGAGTTTCCAAAATTTGATAAGAAGATAAAATACTTTTAAATAATGGAATTTGATGTTCTCTATCGATTGATGCTAGATATTTAAGCATTTTAATCAAATCGGAAATCGGGTAATTACTATTATGAAGCGCATTAACTTTTGCAAACATAATAGCGTCTTCTAGGTTATCTAAAAACATAATATTTTGGAAATCTAAGTTTAATTGTGTTACGAGCCCGTGAAAACTCAGGTGGTCAGCCTTGTAAAGAATTTCTCACCATTAATACTGCATGTTGGAATATTTTTAAACCAGTCTGTAGTTTCCGTTGGTTTTCACTTCATTTCACAATCGTTTTATTGTAGTTATTAATTATGCCCATTGTTAAAGATACTTGTAATTCTAATTCTTTAGCTAAATTATTTTGGTTTTTCTTGACTGTATTTATTGCTGCTTTATAATACTTTCCGTCGTCAGCGGCGAGAGTTCCAAATAGTCATTTATTCATTTTCCCAACAGCGTTAATTAGGCCTCGTTCTTTACGAACATGTGGATTTAAATTTTCAAGTTTTTCCACCGTAATTTGTATTAAATATTCAATTCTTAAAAGCAAATTTTTGGCAAGTCCATAATAATGCTATATGCTTTCTATGTGATTAATTACTTGACTTAATAATGGATAAATATGTGTTTGTTATTAATTAACTTTGCGTTACCTATCTAGTTAGGTTAAAATTTATCACTGGTGGTTTTCGAACATATTGATTCTTTTGGCATCTGTCACATTTGCTAACATAATTGTCTATGTTGTTAGACATTTTTGGCCAATAATATTTTCTACATTTCATTTATTCCACGATAGTACGTTTTGTTATATGGTATAGACTGAGTTTTTCTTGTTGGTCATCTTGGGTTTCGATGTCTTCGAGAACTACATTGCAGCTGAATATTTGAAAGTGTTTTGTAATATTGCAGCGAAAATTCTAATTAAATTATCCGCTTGAAAGTAAATTGCATAAGTAGTTTTTCGTTTAAAGTATTCCTTCATGATTTGTATAATATATACATATATATATATATATATATATATATATATATATATATATATATATATATATATATATATATATATATATATATATATATATATATATATATATATATATATATATATATATATATATATATATATATATATATATATATATATATTCTCACGTATTGATTCACGGGTGGAAAAATATGATGACACTATATTCCGGGATATCATCCGTTCGCTCGTTGAACTCCGACTGGAATCCTGCAGACGTTTCGCCAAAATCTCACTTGGCATCTTCAATGCTCGTGCTCGAAGTATATATATATATATATATATATATATATATATATATATATATATATATATATATATATATATATATATATATATATATATATATATATATATATATATATATATATATATATATATATATATATATATATATATATATATATATATATATATATATATATATATATATATAATTTCATCTGCGTCTGCTGAGTTGTTTAGGGACAATTTCAATAGCGTTCATATCTATTGGATATCGTGATAAAGCGTCCGCTGCTTGGTTGTTTTTACCCTTTTTGTATTTGATTTCGTAATCATATTTCTCAAGTTTAGGTCTCCATCCAATGAGTCGTGAATTTGGCTCTTTTAATGACATTAGCCACTGGAAAGGTTTATGATCCGTGTAAATAATGAATTTTTGTCCGAATAAAAAAGGTCTATAATATTTACAGCTCCAAAAAATTGCTTATACTTCCCTTTCAATTGTCCAATAGTTTATCTCTGCCGAATTCAGCGTTCTTGATGCGTAGCATATTGTATTGGCATATTTTGATGCGTCGGTTGTTAATTCAAACTTCTTTGTAAAGTCCGGATAAGATAACACCAGCTCTGAAGTTAGCACATTTTTTGCACGAGTTAAAAGAATCAATGAATTCTTTCGTGTGTTCAACTTTGCTTACCTTTTTCAAGCATGTCATTGGTTTAGTTATCTTCGAGTAATTTTTTATGAAATTGCGATAATACCTGATTAAAACTAAGAATGATTTAATGTCTCGTGTTTTCGGCAAAGCATATTTTTTAATCGCTTCAATCTTCTTTTGGTTTGGTTTTATACCATTTGGGGTAACTATATGTCCAAGCAATTCCACTTCTCGTCGTAAAAATTCGCACTTGTCTGCTTGTATCTTCAGATTAGCTTCTCGTAATTTTTGGAATATTAATCTCAGATTTTGAATATGTTCTCTTAGTACTGTACTTATAACGATTACGTCATACATATTTTATTTTGGACGTCTTTCAAAATTTCAT